TCTTAGCTGGTCTGGATATTGTGGCATGTCCACACCAACCCCCAGATTCTGGCAGCTGCTGTTGACCTGCACAGGTGGAGTGTCAGCCTAGAGTTACATTAGGAACACAAACATGACACCAGCAATCAAATCATCAGTGTTAAGGTTTGGCGCAGACACTGAACAGAGACACCTTAGTCTACGTAAACTTAAATTGTATAAAGAAACCTGTCAATGGGTTTTGTTTTGCACAAGGCATGAACGCGTTAATTTCTGCTGTAAAGTTGTACATTTTAACATGAAACTCAATGGAGTCTGACTCACTGCTGGATATAGCCTCTAGTGGACACTGGAGGAACTGCAGCTACTGGTCTTTTCTCTCTGTTTTTCAGCCCTGAATGTGTTACTTGCAGTTTCTTCTTACCCTTAATATGAAGGTGTCTCAGAGCTACATTAGCACAGCCGATCTGAGTCAAAGAGAGGAGTCGGTTTCACAGGGGAAATTAAATTGTGGGACTCTAACCAGATCTTCATTGAGTCTGATATTGTATCTCCATCAAAACGAGAAATCAAATCTGAAATGAGATTAATCTCCTGAGCTGTACTGTCAATTAAAATTCAATTTCACTGCACATAAGCCTATTTTCTATTTAGATTCCTCACCCACACACCTTTCACCATCAAACACATACGCACACACACACACACACAAATCTGTGTGTTGTTGCTGTTTATCATGTTTCTGTTCTCTGTTTGTGTCCTCTGACAGCAGGGCTTTTCCCCCCTAAAATGCTGCTGTCTCCTCTCCTCTAATTCCTTTCAGGTGGGCTGTGAATATTAATGTGTGTTTTAGCTGGCAGGCTGACAGGTGGAGTCTAATGTATTCTGCTAATGATACAGAGTTTACTGCTTTCACTGAGTGACTGTGAAGGTGGAGCATCGGGGAGGATTAAATGTTTGTTGGCTGGAGCTCAAATTAACTCACCTCCATGTTTGAACTCTCTCTAACTCACAGATGTGCACCTATTTCACACACAGAGCCAACACACATGAACACACACACACACACATACACACAACTAAACACCCATGCGATACAGACATGATACAGAGACAGAGTCTACAGCTGCTCACTTATGTACATCTAGTTCAGGCTGTTATCATTCTCCGTCTGTACTTTTACCTATGAAGAGCCATGCAGTTAGGTATCATGAGCCAACATGTAGGATATGATTCAAAGACTATTTTAACAATCCATTGTTTCATAACAACTGTAAGAAACGCCACCATTGTGGTTGGAATGGTAATAATTTATTTTGAGAGGGTCCTTTAGGTAGCACCGACAAAGGAGACCCTGAACTGTTGAGCAGCTAAAATCCCCTATCAGGCAAGAATGGGACAACATTTCACTTTCCAAACTCCAGAAACTGGTCTGATGGGTTCACTAATGATAACAGAGTGATGGGAAAAGAAGAGCTCATGACTAGGGCTGGACAATAAACTGAAAATTTACCAATACCGAAACTTACGACAATCACCGACGTCATTTTGCCCATATCAGTATATTCGGTGTCAAAAAAAAAAAAATTAAAGTTGGTTTTAGATGTGTGTAGGTAGGCTATAGTCTCATATCCCTTTAAGACGCTGTCCGATGTCAGAGACATGACTCCACCCCATCCAGTCAGTAACAAGGAGGGAAAGACAGATGAGGAGATAGAGGACAGTTCAAAAGTTGTAGCGGCTGGAGTGGCGGCTGAAGTACATAAAGTTAATGTGGGAGGGGGTGAGCAGCTTGTGGAGTAGTTATTGCCCATTTATTGCTATCGAGGTGAACTGCTCAATACATCGTGATATTGATGTGAGGCCATATCACCCAGCCCTACTCATGACACACAATGACAAATATGGACCCTGTAACTACTTTCTAGAAACAAATTGCTGACATTTTGCATATCAGCACCTGCTCCTGGCCTTAAATTGGAGCACAGATCTCCAATCACTCATTCAGTTCCACCAAACAAAAACCCAGTTTACTGATTTCTGCTGCAGTGAACTAAAGAAAGTTAACAGCAGTGTATCCTCTTTAAAAATCACTGACTGAAATACACAAAGAGAGTTTATTTTCCTCCCTTCCCTCTCTGATTTCCTTTCTGAACTTGATGTAGTTTATTAATTCAAACTCAACCCTCTGATCAGACCGGACCCGAATGAAAGTGTTGATTAAAAATTGCTCAAAGCTCAGAAAAGAAAGCGCTCTGATGTTTTCTTTTTGAGCATTTTTCTCGAGTGTTATGGGATGTGACGGTCTCGGAGCAAAGGTTCATAACCTCAGCAGAAAACATTAACACTCCTCCACTGAAACACACATTATGAAAACACATTTACAGGACACGGCTCTGTGCTGCTGAATTTAAAAACAACACTCTGGTTGTTTCAGATCTACAACACATTAGATCTAATCTGTTTCTGTGGTACACATTATGACAGGTAAATTTTAAGTATTTTAAATTGATATCTTAACTTTGGGTTTTCTTACATCCATAATTCACACGCTGCTCCTGCTGCTGTGAAACTCTCCCCAACCGCTCCATTTCCAAAACATCTATAATTCATGATTTTAAACACTGATTATAAAGAGAACCAGTCAGAGAGAAACACTTTCTAATTCACTCCTACAGATAAACATGTGCAAACCCATTAAAGTTTGAAGACTGTTAATGTACTGTAAGAAAAGATGTTTCACACATGCAGTAAGGTCAGGGAAACTTTCTGTGAAAACAAAGACTCATGGCAGAGTCAGCATCAGGAGGTGACTCGGGGCTTTAACAAAGGTCAATTTAGGTATTTATGCAAGAAAAAAATATGTAAGAAAAGACTCATTAAAGATTCAGTCGATGCTGGAGAAGAGATATCGGGTCAGAATATCACATTTGTGGTCAAAACAGCACAAAAAAGTTTTTGTACAAAGAACAACTCTTGATTGAATTTGAGGTGCTTTGGAGGTTTCACTGCTGCAGGATATCTCAGACCTCTACACTGCAAAGACACGGGATATAAAGACACAAAATTACAACAATCTGCCTTCTATTGTTTTGGCAGCTTCATGCAGTGTAAATTATTAAGCTGCTACTCAGCCTCACTGACTCAACAAACCCAACCAAGAAAAACTGAGGAGGGTGAGGCAACCAATCAAATCAAACCAAAGCACTGCATCATAATCAGACAAAACAATCACAACACTTTGTAAAAGAAAGGAAATAAAAAACACAGTAACTACAGTTCAGTCAAAAAGCAGCCTGTCCAGGACTATTTATAAAGCCTGTGTGGCTGATTGGTGAGTTCTGGTCACATGACCTGAAGCAGTCCCCTCCAGAATAATGCTGCACCTGTGGTGATGAATCTAGAATATGTCAAGTCTTGAATTCCCTAAGTTGAAAATACTGAACTTTGTCAGTTTATGACCTGCACCTGTCGACCTCTCCGACAGATTCACTCACTTCTCAGTGTGACGAGTTTACTTTGATAAAATCACAGCAGAGATCGATCAGGAGTCAAAGGTTCAGCATTAGATAGTGATAAAAGTGACTGATGGAGAGTTTTTAACTTTTAAAAACTCTCAAAGAAGTTTAAAAATGGAAAGAGTTGATAAATGTGTCTGTGTGAGAGGACAATGATCTATCACACTTGATAAATTATAGCAAACACTCGATCCTGGATCTATCCTCACTGTCATCAAGACATGGCCCAGAACCTAAACTCTGTCACCTCTGAGAGTAAAGATCACACACACACACACCCACACATGCACACGCACGCACACAGATGCACACAGAGCATCTCTCACAGCATTTCTTCAAACAGATCAGTTCCTTTTGATTTAATGAGCAGAGACATGAAACTCTGCTTAAAGATCACAGGAAGTTGCCGCAAGGCAACACAAACCTACACACACTAATGCACACAAACTCACTCACAAACACACACTCAAACATATCCTCTGTGTCCTTGTCTTCCTCGTGTCACTTATAATGAAGAAGATTGTGCATCATGAAGTAAACAAGTACAGTATCATAAAGAGCCTGCATATTCACAAAGTCTAGTATATACAAACACACACACTCAAACATATATGCACTAAAAAGAAAAGCAGAGTGTGTGTTGAGCGTTTCTTGTCTTCCCCTGTGAACTCTTATACATGAGGACATGCAAAGCAGGAATTAATCCCATAGTATCATCTATGTGCACAAATTTAATCCAAGTAACTCCAATTAAAAACGCTGCAGAAGCCTGAGGGGATTTGTGCATGTAGAAGTGTGCACATAGAGTGTGCACAACTACTGATTTTGTACCTTTTTGCAGCAGATTTATAATGATCGACATGCATTTACGTTCAAACTTTACTACTCATGGATTACTGTTAAGCATCACTTCCGACATGCTCAATCGTCAATGTGATTGTAATGAAACTACAGAGAATCTCGCTAGAAGCATAATTTTACACATTAAGTTTTTATGAGCCGAGCAGCCCTGGACTACAACCACCATGTTTAAAGACAGACCAAGAGGAAGGCTGATGGCTCCTTGGAGTATGTTTTTAAAATTTGATGTCTCTGTATAATTCTACCAGTCATTGACTGTAAGTAAGTCAAACAGATATTTTGGACAGACTAATATCTTCATACCACACTCTCCCTCTCTTACATGGGTACTGCAAGCTGTATAACAGGAAGTCTGGAACACCATAAAAACCCCACAAGACTAAATGCACATCTGACCGAGACGAAATATAGTTTCGATATTATTATTATTATTATTATTATTGTTTTATTTTGATTATTAAAGTTGTTCAGTGTTTGCTGATGTAATTGGTAATGAAACACATTTATGCCTTTTTTATTTATTAGAAAACAATTTTGTAATAAATTACAGTAGTAAAATGTAAACAAAAACTGGGAATAACTACTCTGTGTCCCTGTGCTCCATTGGCAGAGTACAAACTGTCTACATGTGGCAAACTAGGACTACTTGTTGTCTGCTCCAGGGTCAGGGATGTTTGCAGTAGCCCCACTGTCACTGCCTTCTAGCCAGTCTGTGCGTTCATATGTGGGAGGTCGCTTCAGCTTCTCCAGGTTCAGTCTTCTAGCCCAGGCCTGGGAAAAGCCGGAGACATAGTTTTTATTGTTTTTAATTTGCCACAGTCTGCTTTTGTACTGCGTTTGTCATCAACTTGGCAAATAATACTTTAAAATAACAGCATATGACTGTGAGTTTTATGTTAAGGCAAATAGTTTACTTGAGTATCACTGATTCTTACCTCAGAATCAGACATGGTCAAAGTCCTCTGGTGGTCTGGGAGTAAACTGACGGTAAATCGGAACGATACAAGTGTGCTCTGTTTGTGGATGAGACACATTGGAGCAGAGAGGGAGGAGGGGAGAGGCAGCACTCGAGTTGAAGGGGGTGGAGGGGAATGGCCTGAAATGAAAATGGTCAAAATCATCCCCCTTCTAAAACAGTCATCCCAACTTTTATTACCACAATTTTAACGTTTAGCGTGTGTGACGGAGCGGCGTCCTCACTGACTGCAGGCCACACAAACACACACATACCTACATACACTCCAAACATTTTCCTCCCCGCCAGCGTCGGAAATAACCCACTAAACAGCGCTACTTTCCCTTCTCTGTTGGATAGGGTAACCAAGGGTGCATACTTGGAGCTCCATCGATTAACTCAAACATACCTTCACATAGACATGCCACTGTCCTTCTACTTACTTGCCGGGCGTCCATTCACGCAATCATGCCGGATCATGTTTCCAAATGAGGAAACAGACAGCATGATTTCCGTGTGTAAAGTAAGTAAAGTAAGTAAGTAAGTAAATTTATTTCCTTGTTATTTGCCATGAATCCATAAAAATGAATGCTCCATTGATTTGTGTAAAAACTTCGTTAAAATGGCAAAAACTTTTAGAAAAAGGTCTGAAGGTTAAATATAGTAAAAATGGTTCAAATGTGAATAAATGAGTTTTTTCCAAACTTATGTAATTGATAACGCCCACTGGGAGGGGCTAGGGGTCTTAAAACAAGGCCTCCTGGGCATTTCTATCTTTGACGCTGGGGTTTGTTGTGTGGAAGGTAACTGCCAAACTGACTTTTGTAGTGTTGCGGCCTTTCTGTTCATTTTTCTCTTGGGCAAGAATCTTGAGTTATAGTGAAACTATTGCTTTGTTTCTTTTCTTTTTTTTTTTTTTTTTTTGCCTTGTACATTTTGTAAATATTATTTGCCTTTTTTTTTTTTTTTTGCACTTTTTATAATATTTTTGCACTAGACCTTGGAGGCTGGCTGTGTTTTCCGCTATGCCTGTGTTTTTCCACCATATTGTGAGTGTTTGAGCAAGAACCCCATGACAGGGGGCTTTGCTTATATTTAGTAAACTACTCTGGGTGAGGTGGCATGTGTGGAAATGATACTATTTTTCCTTTTTTTTTTTTTTTCTTTTTTAAATGACATCAGTGAGCAGCGCTAGTGACGCTGTTGCGATTTCAGTAACATGGCCAAGTGACATGGACAGCTCAATCCAAGGGATTATGTAATATAATAATTATCTTCATGCTTTAGAAACAATAAAATGGGTACACAGTTGGTTTCCCACCATGTGCACTGTCATCAGAACTAAATATCTGTCCCAAACAATAAAAATCACCATCCCCCCGATCTTTTTTCACAACAAGACTACTGGGGAGAGGAGAGCTGAGGAGAAAACCAAAGGGGAGGGGTAGTGCTTACATTTAAAATTTCTCCCAAAGACTGATAGTTACTCAGATCCCGCCTACCCAAGCTTTAATTGGTGTCAGATTGGTGACTGTAATATTGGCTGGTGAGATAACTGAGGAAGGGTAGCAGAGAGAGGGGAAGAGATTGAAGCATATGTTACATAATGTTTGTGGTGATTTTGGAATGGTTGTGGATTTGGGAGAAGCTGATTGCACGTTGTTTGCTGTGCATTGTACAGAAGGTTATGGGAGACAAATATTAACTGACTGGCTGCTTTTACCGGATGAATTTCTGACATGTCAGAAATTTTGGTTGGTGGACTGCAATCTCTTGCACAATGAAAACAGAACTTCTTTCAATCATGACTCTGCCTTGGGGACTCCTTTTTCCAGCCTCTAGCTGTGCTTTTGATGCTCTAAACACACTTTATTTTAAACACAGTCTGTTTTCCGGACCGCTCTCTTTGATAATAACAAATTTCATCCTCACTGTTTTGTATCCCTCTGATTCTGTGGATGCAGCGCGACACAGTTCCTGCTGCACTGTGCAGATTCATTCTCCTGTTGCTGACCGAGCTATATTTGCAAGCTAACACAGGGCAGGGAAAAAAGGAGCTAAATCAGGTGTGCAGGGAACTGAGGGGTGAGAGGAAGAGAGCGAGGACAGAGGATGGAGAGATAACAAGAAGGAAGGATGCTAAAAAATGTGAGCGTTCCTCTGGGTCTCATTAATTTGGTCTAATCAGATAATAAATTGCTGAGGAAACACTTGGATAATATCCTGCACAATGCTCACAGTGTGTGTGTGTGAAGATCAACTTCCTCTGAGCAGGACCTGGCAAAGGTGTTCATAGTTTCCTGTGTTTCAGGTGCAGGATGAGGGCTTAGCTCAGGGTCAGCTGTTATGAGGTGGACAGATTGTGTGACACTTGCTGTTTGCATGTGTGTAGGTGTGTGAGTGTGTACTCAGTTTGTGGAAAGAACCAGACAGTAAGGTTGACCCTGTTGTTTGAACATGCTCCTCTCACTGTCTGGATGATCTGTCTGAAAACTTCTTGACCCCAGAGAAAGGATGAGGGGATGAGGAATGAATGGAGAGCTGACAGGGAAAGTAGAGATGCAAGATTTTTGCTTTTTCACATGAGGTAGATATTGTCTTCAAAATTATTTTTTCTCTTTTCAGAAAAAGATAGTCAAAGTATTCATACATTTTCCTAAAGAGAGCAAAGAAGTCAAGTGTCTTGTGCAAAACTTCCACTATTTCAGCATCATAACTGTTCTGTGTCAAATCTGGTTGATATACAGCTGAGAGAATTTCTCCATCCAGCTGATTTACAGTTTGAGCAGACAGTGTTTCAGAAAAAAAACCAAATACAGAATGTGTGGAGAGAGGGAGTGGGATGTGATGCAGAGTTTAGAGTTTAAAAAGAAAAGTCTATTACAGGTTTTGCATTACATCACTACATATATTTTCATTAATGACTGACTTAAGTGACGACAGAAGTACAATGCTTATCACATAAAGTTTGGATCAAGATGCCCAGGAGCAACCTGAGCAGAAATGCAAATTATGAATTGTTGGCGGATAATGTACCAGCTTTTGTTCTGTTAAACTCAACCTGTATCAAACCACAAACCCAAATCTGAGGTAAACTATGACTTCTGTTTGCCGTTACATCCCTGAGTATGACAGATGTTAGACATCTCCTCTGCCATCCCTGCTGTCACAGTCCAGGCAAAGGTTACTGTAAATCTGAGCTGCAGTTAAATTTGACACTTTGTTGTTGGACTTCACCAATTTCTAAACCAAGTTCTCCTCCAGGGTCTAAAAACTGACGGTGCTGCTAGCTGGGTGGCTGACTTGGGCTCTATTTAGGAGCCTCCAAGTCAGTAGAACCATTCGTCCATTGGAGACAATATCTCACTTGAAGGGCAGTTAAAAAAGAAATGTTCAGGGTAGAAAACAAACTACTGTTGTTTCCTTCACATAGAAACAGCGTTTGGTGTAGCTGTAAATGGATTTTTGTTGGGGGGGTGCTGCTGGCCCTGGGGGTCTATGCTCACACCCCATTCACTGAGATTATGCTTCAAGCAGGATTTGCCTACACCTAGAGTTCTGTCCCATCCAAAAGGCCCAAAAAATTGACCTGTTAAACCAGGTTCACCACCTTGTCTGTCATTGTGTCAACTGACAGCAAAAATTGTGTCATTCTCATTGCAGCCCCATTCACACACATATTATGTTCCCAAATAGCCATGCTCAAGATGGAGGACAATAACAGCACTGGCAAACCACCAAACTGTGTTTTTGGTGCTGATTTTACTGAGTTTCCTGAAACTCCTTGAGCAAAATGTAAATTTGTTGCATTGGCCATTGTCTTCTGGTTTGTCTTTTCTCAGCACTCAACTGAAAAACACATTTATGCTCAGAATCATGGTGTTTTTCACTGCTGAGCTTCTGGCCTGGCATGCACACAGCAGCATTGTCTCATTTTGGTAGATCTGTGTGCACCGAGATTGTTTTCACAGTGTTTCCATATGAACACAGAATTTTTTTTTCCTTTTATGCTAAGACTTAAGACTTTCCTGTTTTCGATGGGACCATTCTCCCCCAAACAAAGCTTATGCTGCGGGGAGTTTGCACTTGTTATAAAGTTGTATTTTTGTGGAGACAGTAATGGTATTCATCACTGTGATCTGATTAGTTCATTATAACTCTAAGCCTACACTTCTTCTAGCTTTCTTATCAATAATAAAACCACTGAGCGCCCCCCTTCAGACCTCTGTTGTGGTGTTTAAAGTGTTTTTGTTTTTGTAGTTTTCTAGTTTAGTGTGTTTTTGGCTTTGCATTATTTATCATGTATGCAGCGCCTTTACAGTGGGTGCAGGCTTTTGCATGTATGTATGAATTTGGAACAAATTTATTTTGCTGTAAAACTCACGTCTACCACAGTACAGATACTACATGTTCATCAGACAAAAACTAACAGGTTCCAAGACCGCAAGAGCAAACAACACATACGATGACGAGGATGTAAGGAAGCATGACTACCAGGCAGTCCATGATTTCAGACCGACTGAACAGACACCAGCTTGTTTCGTACTGAGAGATTATTTAATGTATTTGTCACATTGGCTGAAATATTCATTTTCGGGATGATGCTGTGATTTAATTTTAATGTTTTCAGTTGTGCAAAGTATTAACAGTATTAACCATGCAGGGTCAGTGAAAAGAGAAAGTTGCAGAGCTCCTTTTGACAGTGCATGTTGCTCATGCTGACCTCCTTCTGCTGAGAAAAACTAATAAAAACACACAGCCGTCCTGAAGAGGTCATGCTTAGCTACAGAGAGTGCGAATAGAGTGTTTAAGATCCCGACACTTGCACACAGCGTCTGCACAATAAATCCACACTTTTACTGAAACAAGCCCACTGAGACACAAAGACACAGAGTGGGTGTGTGTGCACAAATCCACACTGAATTTACACACATGCACACTCTCTCTGCTCCTCTGAGGACGAACCCTTTTCTGTCAGAGCTGTTGGCCTTATTTGAGGGGAGTCAGTCCCCCACTGAGGCTGATGGACTAAACCATCTCAGAGCTGAGGGGCATGGGGGGTTCCCAGTGACAGAAGAT